TGTGCCGGGTCTGCCAGGGTTACCACGTGGACCTGAAATTGAATTCTGATAAAAACGAAAGGAACCCAATCTTTTGGTTCAAAATTCTGAACAGCTATACTTATGTAGGAGAGTACTCCGTGAAAATGAACCAGGAGCACCTTTTGGTCCAGGCATTCCTGGAGGTCCCGGTGGCCCAGGAGGACATTTCTGGCAAGCGTTGGTGCCAGGAGGTGGGGCAGGTAGGTACTTGCCATTCCTTCCATTGGGACCATTTCTTCCAGGGAATCCATCCACACCTGAGATAGAAGACTTTTAAAGGTCAACATTAGTTCGGCATGGTTCTGAAGCAGACTACTGGGTTAGCAAGGTTTAATTTTGATAAACGAACCCATTGGTCCCTGAGTCTAGTTTAAAACTTACCAGGTTGTCCAGCTTCTCCTGCAGGACCACGAGGTCCAGGCATTCCTTGGGTACAGGCACAGCATGATCCAGCCGGTACACCACCATAGTTACCGTAGGGAGTCTGTCGTTTCGTTCGGATGTCACTAGGTTTCGTGAATGTCATTTGCTTCCAGATGTCTCGTGACTCACTCTAAAACGTGTAAGTTACTGACTCAACGAGTATCCTATTCAGGGCTAGGTCACCCTGAGGGAGAACTAAGCCCATCGAATTCGATTAGTAAGCCCTTATTCATGCCAATTTTTACCTTTATTTATGCCAATTTTAGGGCCGAAATTTCCTGAAAAAGAAAGTTTTCGCATGACTACAAACCTTGCAGAGTTCAACTTCGGACATCATTTCTGAGGTAAGTTTTTGGATGTGCATATGCATCATTGGCAATCCGATAATGACCGAAATTATAGATACAGTTGATAGCACTGAGGCTGAGAACGTCGCCAAACGTGAACTTGGGACCCAATCCATTTACGCTCCTTTCCTCCCTGGAAAGTGAATTGCTTAAGACCGTGAACCGGTGATGACAACGTATCCCAAAACGGAATTGTCGGAAATATCCGATTTTAGCTATGGTTATACCAGAATAAAGGTCAGATTTAATATGAATCTGTTGTTTGAGCCACACTGGATACTGTGAATTGGACAGAATTACCACCAACTAAGCGTGCGGTCGCGGTGCGTACACATGTACCAATGTGCTAAACACCAGAAGTTCAACAAAACAAGTCCAAAATTTGAATGAGTCTTCATTTCTAAGCCTGATTTCGATACATCGGCGTCCCTTCTAGACATTGAGGTTGTAGGCAAAAACTTTAGTAAACAGAACCTGTCAAAAAGAGGG